GACAGACAGACAGACAGACAGACAGACAGCTGCTCTATCTCCATCTCACTCAGTCATGTCTCTCTCTGTTTTTCAATTATTCCCTTGATCCGTTTATCTAGGACACCCTTGATTCATCTGTTGTGTGTCTGATGACAAATTAGTGTGTTGTGAGTGTGGTGTGTTTAACTGTGATTGATCAGGGAAAGTTGGTGTTTGTGTGTGTCAGTCAAGCGAAAATAGCTGTCAACCACCTGGACCAATATTCCCGACATCAGACCTTTATCACAACATGTCTGTCTCTCCTGTGTGTGTGTGTGTGTGTGTATGTGTGTGTGTGTTTGTGTGTGTGTGTGTGTGTGTTTGTGTTTGTGTGTGTGTGTGTGTGTGTGTGTGTTTGTGTGTGTGTGTGTGTGTGTGTTTAATGTCAGCGGCAGGCTTAGGACCTGTATCTCTATGTCTAGATGTGGCCGTCTGGTCAGACTCAGGGTATAGATGCCTTTCACCACATTGGGCCTGTCAGCCAGTCTAGGCTGAACTTAGAAAGGTTTGGCACATATCTTACTAGAGCCGTGAGATTTTGCTGAGCATTTGACCTGACCATGAGAAACACTTCTGGGCTCTAGTTGTTGACTATATAACTATATATGACCCATAGTTTTTGTCCTTTATGACAAACATACTTTACATGTTTCCTCTCCTGGTAATTTAATGTGAGGTAGTGTAATGTCTGTGTACCTTCCTCTCTCCCTAGCTGTATGTAGACACAGCTGTACACTACATGACCAAAGTATGTGGACACCTGCTCGTCGAACATCTCATTCCAGAATCATGGGCATTAATATGGAGTTGGTCCCCCCTTTGCTGCTATAACAGCCTCTACTCTTCTGAGAAGGCTTTCCACTAGATGTTGAAACATTGCTGCAGGGACTTGCTTCCATTCAGCCACAAGAGCATTAGTGAGGTCGGCCACTGATGTTGGGTGATTAGGCCTGGCTCACAGTCGGCATTCCAATTCATCCCAAAGGTGTTCAATGGGGGTGAGGTCACAGCTCTGTGCAGGCCAGACAAATTCTTCCACACCGATCTCGACAAACCATTTCTGTATTGACCTCGTTTTGTGCACTGGGCATTGTCATGGTGAAACAGGAAAGGGCCTTCCCCAAACTGTTGCCACAAAGTTGGAAGCACAGAATCGTCTAGAATGTCAATGTATGCTTTAGTGTTAAGATTTCCCTTCACTGGAACTAAGGGGCCTAGCCCGAACCATGAAAAACAGCCCCAGACTATTATTCCTCCTCCACCAAAATGTACAGTTGGCACTATGCATTCGGGCAGGTAGCGTTCTCCTGGCATCCGCTGAACCCAGATTCGTCCGTCGGACTGCCAGATGGTGAAGCGTGATTCATCACTCCAGAGAACACGTCTCCACTGCTCCAGAGTCCAATGGAGGCGAGCTTTACATCACTCCAGCTGACACTTGACATTGCGCATGGTGATCTTTAGGCTTGTGTGCGGCTGCTTGGCCTTGAAAACCCATTTCATGAAGCTCCCGACTAACAGTTCTTGTGCTGACGCTGCTTCCAGAGGCAGTTTGGAACTCGATAGAGAGTGCTGCAACCGAGGACAGATTATTTTTACGCACTACGCACTCGGCGGTCCCGATCTGTGAGCTTGAGTGGCCTACCACTTCACGGCTGAGCTGTTGTTGCTCCTAGACATTTCCACTCCAATAACCACACTTACAGTTGACCGGGACAGCTCTATCAGGGCAGAAATCTGACGAACAGACTTGTTGGAAAGGTGGCATCCTATGGAGGTGCCACGTTGAGCTCTTCAGGAAGGCCATTCTACTGCCAACGTTTTTCTATGGAGATCGCATGGCTGTGTGCTCGATTTTATACACCTGTCAGTAACGGGTATGGCTTAAATAGCCAAATCCACAAATTTGAAGGGGTGTCCACATGCTTTTGTATATACAGTGCCTTCGGAAAGTATTCAGACCCCTTGACTTTTTCCACATTTTGTTAGGTTACAGCCTTATTCTAAAATTGATTAAATTGTTTTTTCCCCTCATCAATCTACACACAATACCCCATAATGACTAAGCAAATATAGGTTTTTATAATTTTTTGCTAATTTATATAAAATAAAATAATCTGAAATATCACATTTACATAAGTATTCAAACTCTTTACTCTTTACTTTGTTGAAGCACCTTTGGCAGTGATTACAGCCTCAAGTCTTCTTGGGTATGACGCTACAACCTTGGCACACCTGTATTTGGGGAGTTTCTACCATTCTTCTCTGCAGATCCTCTCAAGCTCTGTCAGGTTGGATGGGGAGCGTTGCTGCACAGCTATTTTCAGGTCTCTCCAGAGATGTTCGATCGGGTTCAAGTCTGGGCTCTGGCTGAGCCACTCAAGGACATTCAGAGATTTGTCCCGAAGCCACTCCTGCATTGTCTTGGCTGTGTGCTTAGGGTCGTCGTCCTGTTGGAAGGTGAACCTTTGCCACAATCTGGAGCAGGTTTTCATCAAGGATCTCTCTGTACTTTGCTCCGTTCATCTTTGCCTCAATCCTGAATAGTCTCCCAGTCCCTGCCGCTGAAAAACATCCCCACAGCATGATGCTGCCACCACCATGCTTCACAGTGGGGATGGTGTTCTCAGGGTGATGAGAGGTGTTGGGTTTTGAGCCAGACATAGCGTTTTCCTTGATGGCCAAAAAGCTCCATTGTAGTCTCATCTGACCAGAGTACCTTCTTCCATATGTTTCTGGCCACTCTTCCGTAAAGCCCAGCTCTGCACATACAGTGCCTTCAGAAAGTATTCACACTCCTTGAGTTTTGTTGGGTTACAGCCTGAATTATATATGGATTCAATTGATATGTTTTTGTCACTGGCCTACACACAATACCCCATAATGTCAAAGTGGAATTATGTTTTTTGATTTTTTAAATACAAATTAATTAAAAAGGAAAAGCTGAAATGTCTTGAGTCAATAAGGATTCAACCCCTTTGTTATGGCAAGTCTAAATAAGTTCAGGAGTAAAAATGTGCTTAACAAGTCACATAATAAGTTTCATGGACTCACTCTGTGTGTAATACTAATGTTTAACATGATTTTTGAATGACTACCACATCTCTGTACCACACACATTATCTGTAAGGTCCCTCAGTCGAACAGTGACTTTCAAACACAGATTAAAACACAAAGACCAGGGAGGTTTTCCAATGCCTCACAAACAAGGGCACCTATTGGTAGATGGGTAAAAAATTAAAAAGCAGACATTGAATATCCCTTTGAGCATGGTGAAATGTTTAATTACATTTTGGATGGTGTATCAATACACCCAGTCACTACAAAGATACAGGCGTCCTTCCTAACTCAGTAGCTGGAGAGGAAGGAAACCGCTCAGAGATTTCATCATGAGGCCAATGGTGACTTTAAAACAGTTTCAGTGTTTAATGGCTGTGATAGGAGAAAACTGAGGATAGATCAACAACATTGTACTTACTCCACAATACTAACCTAATTGACAGAGTAAAAAGAAGGAAGCCTGTACAGAATACAAATATTCCAATACATGCATCCTCTTTGAAACAAGGCACTAAAGTAATACTGCAAAAAATATATTACACTCTCCATAGTGGTGGCTGGATCATGTTATGGGTATGCTTGTAATCATTAAGGACTGGGGAGTTTTCAGGATAAAGAATTTACGGAATGGAGCTAATCACAGGCAAAATCCTAGAGGAAAACCTGGTTCAGTCTGCTTTCCACCAGACACTGGGAGAGAAATTCACATTTCAGCAGGACATTAACCTAAAACACAATGACGAATCTAAACTGGAGTTGCTTACCAAGAAGACTGTGAATGTCCCTGAGTGGGCGAGTTACAGTTTTGACTTTAAATCTATTTGAACATCTATGGCAAGACCTGAAAATGAAAATCAGACAGGTTTTTTACATGGACGATACATTGGAGATAATATAAGGCAAGTACTGGAAACAATAGAACACTATGAAACATCTGGGAAACCAGGCCTGCTATTCATAGGAGACTTCGAAAAGGCATTTGATAAAGTACGAGTGGGGTTTATATCTAAATGCATGGAGCATTTCCATTTTGGAGAATCTCTTATAAATTGGGTTAAAGTCATGTATAGTAACGACCAGAGTACCTTCTTCCATATGTTTCTGGCCACTCTTCCGTAAAGCCCAGCTCTGTGGAGTGTATGGCTTAAAGTGGTCCTATGGACAGATACTCCAATCTCCGCTGTGGAGCTTTGCAGCTCCTTCAGGGTTATTTTTGGTCTCTTTGTTGCCTCTCTGATTAATGCCCTCCTTGCCTGGTCCGTGAGTTTTGGTGGGCGGCCCTCTCTTGGCAGGTTTGTTGTGGTGCCATATTCTTTCCATTTTTTAATAATGGATTTAATGGTGCTCCGTGGGATGTTCAGAGTTTCAGATATTTTTTTATAACCCAACCCTGATATTTACTTCTCCACAACTTTGTCCCTGACCTGTTTGGAGAGCTCCTTGGTCTTCATGTGCCGCTTGCTTGGTGGTGCCCCTTGCTTATTGGTGTTGCAGACTCTGGGGCCTTTCAGAACAGGTGTATATATACTGAGATCATGTTACAGATCATGTGACACTTAGATTGCACACATGTGGACTTTATTTAACTAATTATGTGACTTCTGAAGGTAATTGGTTGCACCAGATCTTATTTAGGGACTTCATAGCAAAGGGGGTGAATACATATGCACGCACCACTTTTCCGTAATTTATTTTTTTGATTTTTTTAAACAAGTTCTTTTTTTCATTTCACTTCACCAATTTGGACTGTTTTGTGTATGGCCATTACATGAAATCCAAATAAAAATCCATTTAAATTACAGGTTGTAATGCGACAAAATAGGAGAAACGCCAAGGGGGATGAATACTTTTGCAAGGCATAGTAGGTTTGACAGTGGTAAGGAGGGTTTCATAGTGTTGTGCTGTTATAATGTAAATCCATGGATCTACCCTCCTCTCTCTATAGGTTTGACAGTGGTAAGGACGGCTTCATAGACCTGATGGAGCTGAAGCTGATGATGGAGAAGCTGGGAGCTCCTCAGACCCACCTGGGCCTCAAGAACATGATCAAGGAGGTGGATGAGGACTTTGACGGCAAGCTGAGCTACAGAGAGGTGTGTGTACTGGACTGTCTACTTCCATGTCAATTTCCCTGTGTGTGTGTGTGTGTGTGTGTGTGTGTGTGTGTGTGTGTGTGTGTGTGTGTGTGTGTGTGTGTGTGTGTGTGTGTGTGTGTGTGTGTGTGTGTGTGTGTGTGTGTGTGTGTGTGTGTGTGTGTGTGTGTGTGTGTATGCCTGAGTGAGTAAATGCCTGTTAATTACCCAGTGTGTATTTTTTAACTGCAGTAGCACATACAGTGCCTTCAGAAAGTATTCACACTCCTTGAGTTTTGTTGGGTTACAGCCTGAATTATAAATGGATTCAATTGATATGTTTTTGTCACTGGCCTACACACAATACCCCATAATGTCAAAGTGGAATTATGTTTTTTGATTTTTTTAATACAAATTAATTAAAAAGGAAAAGCTGAAATGTCTTGAGTCAATAAGGATTCAACCCCTTTGTTATGGCAAGTCTAAATAAGTTCAGGAGTAAAAATGTGCTTAACAAGTCACATAATAAGTTTCATGGACTCACTCTGTGTGTAATACTAATGTTTAACATGATTTTTGAATGACTACCACATCTCTGTACCACACACATTATCTGTAAGGTCCCTCAGTCGAACAGTGAATTTCAAACACAGATTAAAACACAAAGACCAGGGAGGTTTTCCAATGCCTCACAAACAAGGGCACCTATTGGTAGATGGGTAAAAATAAAAAAGCAGACATTGAATATCCCTTTGAGCATGGTGAAATGTTTAATTACACTTTGGATGGTGTATCAATACACCCAGTCACTACAAAGATACAGGCGTCCTTCCTAACTCAGTAGCTGGAGAGGAAGGAAACCGCTCAGAGATTTCACCATGAGGCCAATGGTGACTTTAAAACAGTTTCAGTGTTTAATGGCTGTGATAGGAGAAAACTGAGGATAGATCAACAACATTGTACTTACTCCACAATACTAACCTAATTGACAGAGTAAAAAGAAGGAAGCCTGTACAGAATACAAATATTCCAATACATGCATCCTCTTTGAAACAAGGCACTAAAGTAATACTGCAAAAAATACATTACACTCTCCATAGTGGTGGCTGGATCATGTTATGGGTATGCTTGTAATCATTAAGGACTGGGGAGTTTTCAGGATAAAACATTTACGGAATGGCGCTAATCACAGGCAAAATCCTAGAGGAAAACCTGGTTCAGTCTGCTTTCCACCAGACACTGGGAGAGAAATTCACATTTCAGCAGGACATTAACCTAAAACACAATGCCAAATCTAAACTGTAGTTGCTTACCAAGAAGACTGTGAATGTTCCTGAGTGGGCGAGTTACAGTTTTGACTTAAATCTATTTGAACATCTATGGCAAGACCTGAAAATGAAAATCAGACAGGTTTTTTACATGGACGATACATTGGAGATAATATAAGGCAAGTACTGGAAACAATAGAACACTATGAAACATCTGGGAAACCAGGCCTGCTATTCATAGCAGACTTCGAAAAGGCATTTGATAAAGTACGAGTGGGGTTTATATCTAAATGCCTGGAGCATTTCCATTTTGGAGAATCTCTTATAAATTGGGTTAAAATCATGTATAGTAAAGCTAGGTGTAAAATAGTAAATAATGGCTATTTCTCAGAAAGTTTTAAACTGTCAAGAGGAGTGAAACAAGGTTGTCCACTATCAGCATATGTATTTATTATGGCCATCGAGATGTTAGCTATTAAAATCAGATCCAACAATAATATCAAGTGATTAGAAATCCAGGGCTTAAAAACAAAGGTGTCATTGTACGCTGATGATTCATGTTTTCTTTTAAATCCACAACTTGAATCCCTCCACAGCCAGAGGATATAGATACATTTTCTAAGTGCTCTGGATTACAACCAAATTATGACAAATGTACTATATTACGTATTGGATCACTAAAAAATAACAATTTTACATTACCATGTAGTTTACCAATAAAATGGTCTGATGGTGATGTGGATATACTCGGAATACATATCCCAAATGAAATAAATGATCTCACTCCAATACATTTTAATAGAAAGTTAGCAAAAATAGATAAGATCTTGCTACCATGGAAAGGTAAATACCTGTCAATTTGTGGCAAAATCACCCTGATTAACTCTTTAGTATTATCCCAGTTTACCTATTTGCTTATGGTCTTGCCTACGCCTAGCGAACAGTTTTTTAAATTATATGAGAAAAATATATTCCATTATATTTGGAACGGCAAGCCAGACAAAATTAAACAGGCCTATTTATATAATGAATATGAATTCGGAGGACAGAAATTATTAAATATTAAAGCATTAGACCTATCACTAAAAGCTTCAGTCATACACAAGTTATACTTAAATCCGAACTGGTTCTCTAGCAAATTAGTAAGATTGTCTCACCCAATGTTCAAGAATGGCCTTTTCCCTTTTATTCAGATTACAACCTCTCACTTTCAGTTATTTGAAAAGGAAATAATCTCCCAAATATCACTATTTCTAAAACAATCCATAGAAAGTTGATTGCAATTTTAATTGAATCCTCCAGAAACGACAGAACAAATAATGCAACAAATATTGTGGTTAAACTCAAATATACTAATTGATAAAATATTTTTAATTTTTTACAAAATGTTTAAAAAATGTATAATCTTCGTAAATGATATTATCGGTAGGACTGGTGGAGTTATGTCGCACATTCAGCTAACAAAAACATATGGAAATGTCTGCTCTACCCAAACTTACAACCAAATAATTGCAGCATTACCACAAAAATGGAAGAGGAAAGTGGAAGGGGGAAAAAGTAAGTAACTTGTCTGCCGGCCTTGCATTAAAGAACATAATTGGTTAAAGAAAACTGTGATAAATAAAAAAGTATTCCAGTTTCATTTAAGGACCAAAGGATTGACAGCCGTCCCATATAGATTGCAAAATAGTTGGGAAGAGATTTTTGACGTACCGATTCCATGGCATAGTGTTTATGAACTGATAGGCAAAACGACGCCGGATTCAAAACATAGAATTTCTCTATTTAAATTATTATATAAAATTCTTGCTACCAATAGAATGTTATTTATATGGGGGATACAATCTTCCCAGCTCTGCAGATTTTGCTGCGAAGAGACAGAATCATTAGATCATTTGTTTTGGTACTGTCCATTTGTAACTTGTTTTTGGACACAGGTCCAGGAATGGCTAAAGGATTGCAATATTTACCTGGAGCTAACCCTGCAGATAGCATTACTGGGTGATTTGAAAAGGCATAGCAAAAATGTTTATTTTCAATTTACTATATGTAGAAACAATGAGAATAGAAAGGTTCAGACTTTTGTAAAACATCACAGTACAGTTGAAAAATATATGGCAAATATAAATCCAATATGGATGGTGTTAAGAGATAGATGGGTGGTGTTGAATGAAGTTGAAGGATGGGACTAATAACAACTAACAACAACTAATAACAACAAGATAACTAATAATGTAAAGCAAACTGTCCATAATAAGTATATAGGTTATAGGTTGAGAGCTTTTGTGAAAGAGCACAGTTAGAAAGATATGGCATATAGAAGCAAACCGGATGGACATCATGAAAATGATCAGAGAGGTTGAGGGTAGAGGAAGTTCAGGAGTAAAAACAAACAAAATATAATTATTGTAAAATTGACAGTGTCCATAAAATGTATATAGTATATAAGCTGGAAGTAGAGGCCTATGCATTGTTGTTCACTAGTTTACTCCAATTAGGGAAGGGGTGGTGGGGTTGGAAAGTAATAAAGGGAAATATATTTTTAAAAAAAGGATATGTATATGTGTATGTATGTATGTATGTATGTATATATATATATATGTATGTATGTATGTATGTATGTATGTATGTATGTATGTATGTATGTATGTATGTATGTATGTATGTATGTATGTATGTATGTATGTATGTATGTATGTATGTATGTATGTATGTATGTATGTGTATATATGTATATACAGTGGGAAGAACAAGTATTTGATACACTGCCGATTTTGCAGGTTTTCCTACTTACAAAGCATGTAGAGGTCTGTAATTTTTATCATAGGTACACTTCAACTGTGAGAGACGGAATCTAAAACAAAAATCCCAATCACATTGTATGATTTTTAAGTAATTCATTTACATTTTATTGCATGACATAAGTATTTGATACATCAGAAAAGCAGAACTTAATATTTGGTACAGAAACCTTTGTTTGCAATTACAGAGATCATACGTTTCCTGTAGGTCTTGACCAGGTTTGCACACACTGAGGCAGGGATTTTGGCCCACTCCTCCATACAGACCTTCTCCAGATCCTTCAGGTTTCGGGGCTGTCGCTGGGCAATACGGACTTTCAGCTCCCTCCAAAGATTTTCTAATGGGTTCAGGTCTGGAGACTGGCTAGGCCACTCCAGGACCTTGAGATGCTTCTTACGGAGCCACTCCTTAGTTGCCCTGGCTGTGTGTTTCTGGTCGTTGTCATGCTGGAAGACCCAGCCACGACCCATCTTCAATGCTCTTACTGAGGGGCCAAGATCTCGCGATACATGGCCCCATCCATCCTCCCCTCAATACGGTGCAGTCGTCCTGTCCCCTTTGCAGAAAAGCATCCCCAAAGAATGATGTTTCCACCTCCATGCTTCACGGTTGGGATGGTGTTCTTGGGGTTGTACTCATCCTTCTTCTTCCTCCAAACACGGCGAGTGGAGTTTAGACCAAAAAGCTCTATTTTTGTCTCATCAGACCACATGACCTTCTCCCATTCCTCCTCTGGATCATCCAGATGGTCATTGGCAAACTTCAGACGGGCCTGGACATGCGCTGGCTTGAGCAGGGGGACCTTGCGTGCGCTGCAGGATTTTAATCCATGATGGTGTAGTGTGTTACTAATGGTTTTCTTTGAGACTGTGGTCTCAGCTCTCTTCAGGTCATTGACCAGGTCCTGCCGTGTATTTTTTGGCTGATCACTCACCTTCCTCATGATCATTGATGCCCCACGAGGTGAGATCTTGCATAGAGCCCCAGACCGAGGGTGATTGACCGTCATCTTGAACTTCTTCCATTTTCTAATAATTGCGCCAACAGTTGTTGCCTTCTCACCAAGCTGCTTGCCTATTGTCCTGTATCCCATCCCAGCCTTGTGCAGGTCTACAATTTTATCCCTGATGTCCTTACACAGCTCTCTGGTCTTGGCCATTGTGGAGAAGTTGGAGTCTGTTTGATTGAGTGTGTGGACAGGTGTCTTTTATACAGGTAACGAGTTCAAACAGGTGCAGTTAATACAGGTAATGAGTGGAGAACAGGAGGGCTTCTTAAAGAAAAACTGGTTGGTAGGTAATCAAATAGTTATGTCATGCAATAAAATGCAAATTAATTACTTAAAAATCATACAATGTGACTTTCTGGATTTTTGTTTTAGATTCCATCTCTCACAGTTGAAGTGTACCTATGATAAAAATTACAGACCTCTACATGCTTTGTAAGTAGGAAAACCTGCAAAATCGGCAGTGTATCAAATACTTGTTCTCCCCACTGTATATATATATATATTTGCGAGAAAAAAAACATATGGGGGATTGGAAGTGATGCAGACAATTACATTGATGGAATTTACAATCTATGAAAAAGAATAATGGGCAAATGTTGCCAGATCCAGGTGTGGAAAGCTCTTAATGACTTACCCACAAGGACTCACAGCTGTAATCACTGCCAAAGGTGCTTCTACAAAGTATTGACTCAGGGGTTTGAATACTCATGTAAATGATTAATTATGGGGTACTGTGTGTAGATGGGTGAGAAAACACTCTAACACAACAAAATGTGGAAGTCAAGTCAAGGGGTGAATACTTTCTGAAGGCACTGTACTCCTCTCAGGACAGTCTGTAAAAGGGTGTCTCAATATCAGTCTGTGAGTGTATGGGGGGGATATGCAAAAATATCCTCTGTGTACAACGTAAAACACCAAATAATGCATGCAGATCAGAATTAGGACAATTCCCGCTAATTATCAAAATCCAGAAAATAGCAATTCAATTCTGAACCTGGAGAAGAGTCCCCTCTGCCAGCTGGTATGGGGACTCTACTCACAAACAGACCCCACAGAGCCCCAGGACAGCAACACAATTAGACCCAACCAAATCATGAGAAAACAAAAAGATAATTACTTGACACATTGGAAAGAATCAACAAAAAAACTGAGCAAACTGAAATGCTATTTGGCCCTAAACAGAGAGAACATACACAGAGGCAGAATACCTGACCACTGTGACTAACCCAAAATTAAGAAAAGCTTTATCTATGTGCAGACTCAGTGAGCATAGCATTGCTACTGAGAAAGGCCGCCATCGGCAGACCTGGCTCTCAAGAGAAGACAGACAATGTGCCCATTGCCCACAAAATGAGGTGGAAACCAAGCTGCACTTCCAAACCTGCTAAATGTATGACCATATTAGAGACACATATTTCCCTCAGATTACACAGACCCATAAAGAATTCCAAAACAAATCCAATTTTGGTAAACTCCCATATCTATTGGGTGAAATACCACAGTGTTCTACCACAGCAGCAAGATTTGTGACCTGTTGCCACAAGAAAAGGGCAACCAGTGGAGCACAAACACCATTGTAAATACGACCTATATTTCTGTTTATTTTCCCTTTCATACTTCAACTATTTGCACATTGTTACAACATTGCCAATAATATAACATTTGAAATGTCTATATTCTTTGAAAACTTCAGAGTGTAATGTTTACTGTTCATTGACATTTTTAAATGAAAATATGTCAATCATTATTTGAATATGTTGGTAACCCATTGTATAAAAGTGATAATGCCCTCGAAGCCGGTGTTTGGAAGAATGGCAAATAAGTCTGGCTGCACAACTGATTGGCAAACGTATTGTAAATTGAGAAATCATGTGACTAAACTGAATAAAAAGAAGAAGAAACTACACTATGAAACAAAGATAAATGACATAAAGAATGATAGTAAAAAGGCAAACTCAGCTCCATCATTCATTGAATCAGATGGCTCATTCATCACAAAACTGACTGATATTGCCAACTACTTTAATGATTTTTTCATTGGCAAGATTAGCATCTTTACTAACTACATGCCACTGGCTTTGAGTAAAGCCAGTGTGTCTATGTATGCGGATGACTCAACACTATACACGTCAGCTACTACAGGGATTGAAATGACTGCAGCACTTAACAACGAGCTGCAGTTAGTTTCAGAGTGGGTGGCAAGGAATAAATGAGTCCTAAATATTTCTAAAACTAAAAGCATTGTATTTGGGACAAAACATTCACTAAACCCTAAACCTCAACTAAACCTTGTAATAAGTAATGTGGAAATTGAGCAAGTTGAGGTGACTAAACTGGATTGTAAACTGTCATGGTCAAAACATATTTGATACAACAGTAGCTAAGATGGGGAGAAGTCTGTCCATAATAAAGCGCTGCTCTACCTTCTTAACAGCACTATCAACAAGGCAGGTCCTACAGGCCCTAGTTTTGTCGCACCTGGACTACTGTTCAGTCGTGTGGTCAGGTGCCACAAATAGGGACTGAGCAATTGGCTCAGAACAGGGCAGCACGGCTGGCCCTTGGATGTACACAGAGAGGTAACGTTAATAATATGCATGTCAATCTCTCCTGGCTCAAAGTGGAGGAGAGATTGACTTCATCACTACTTGTATTTATGAGCGGTATTGACATGTTAAATGCACCGAGCTGTCTGGCGCACAGCTCGGACACCCATGCATACCTCACAAGACATGCCACAAGAGGTCTCTTCACAGTCCCCAAGTCCAGAACAGACTAGGGGCCTGAGGGCACACACTGTGTTGTGAAATCTGTGAATGTATTGTAATGTTTTAAAAATTGTATAACTGCCTTAATTTTGCTGGACCCCAGGAAATGGGGATCCATAATAAATACAAATACAAATATTGGCACGGTTTGCCGGCCCTCGACGAACACCTGTGCCAATATATCCTCCAAACACCGGCTTCTCGGGCATTATCACTTAAGTGAAGCTTTGTAGGAATTGCAAGTTATGACAGACAATTGTTGTGGCAGTACATGAAATGTAGGACCCTATATTTGGCAAAAAGTCACTTCGTAGCTGTTTTTAAAGCAAAAAAAATCAACTATGACCTACAATAACATATTCTGTTTATTTCACAATGTGCAGTGCACTGTAATAAAACTATGTATCTATGTATATATTCTACAATCTACTGACCTAAAATGTATAGATATGTATAGTTCTGTCTGAGCCTCTCTCACCCACCCTGATGTTTTCCTCTCTCCTCCAGTTCCTGCTGATCTTCAGGCGAGCAGCGGCAGGCGAGCTGCAGGAGGAGAGTGGTCTGATAGCTCTGGCCAGACTGTCTGAGATAGACGTCTCCACAGAGGGAGTCATGGGGGCACGGGACTTCTTTGAGGCCAAGGTAGGAGTGGAATGGAGGAAGAGGAGAGAGAGTGAGAGTGTGTGTGTGTGTGGTGTGTGTGTGTGTGTGTGTGTGTGTGTGTAAATGTGTATATATATATATATATATATATATATACAGTGGGAAGAACAAGTATTTGATACACTGCCGATTTTGAAGGTTTTCCTACTTACAAAGCATGTAGAGGTCTGTAATTTTTATCATAGGTACACTTTAACTGTGAGAGACGGAATCTAAAACAAAAATCCAGAAAATCACATTGTATGATTTTAAAGTAATTAATTTGCATTTTATTGCATTAAATAAGTATTTGATACATCAGAAAAGCAGAACATAATATTTGGTACAGAAACCTTTGTTTGCAATCACAGAGATCATATGTTTCCTGTAGGTCTTGACCAGGTTTGCACACACTGCAGCAGGGATTTTGGCCCACTCCTCCATACAGACCTTCTCCAGATCCTTCAGGTTTCGGGGCTGTCGCTGGGCAATACGGACTTTCAGCTCCCTCCAAAGATTTTCTATTGGGTTCAGGTCTGGAGACTGGCTAGGCCACTCCAGGACCTTGAGATGCTTCTTACAGAGCCACTCCTTAGTTGCCCTGGCTGTGTGTTTCGGGTCGTTGTCATGCTGGAACACCCAGCCACGACCCATCTTCAATGCTCTTACTGAGGGAAGGAGGTTGTTGGCCAAGATCTCGCGATACATGGCCCCATCCATCCTCCCCTCAATACGGTGCAGTCGTCCTGTCCCCTTTGCAGAAAAGCATCCCCAAAGAATGATGTTTCCACCTCCATACTTCACGGTTGGGATGGTGTTCTTGGGGTTGTACTCATCCTTCTTCTTCCTCCAAATACGGCGAGTGGAGTTTAGACCAAAAAGCTCTATTTTTGTCTCATCAGACCACATGACCTTCTCCCATTCCTCCTCCGGATCATCCAGATGGTCACTGGCAAACTTCAGACGGGCCTGGAAATGCGCTGGCTTGAGCAGGGGGACCTTGCGTGCGCTGCAGGATTTTAATCCATGACGGCGTAGTGTGTTACTAATGGTTTTCTTTGAGACTGTGGTCCCAGCTCTCTTCAGGTCATTGACCAGGTCCTGCCGTGTAGTTCTGGGCTGATCCCTCACCTTCCTCATGATCATTGATGCCCACGAGGTGAGATCTTGCATGGAGCCCCAGACCGAGGGTGATTGACCGTCATCTTGAACTTCTTCCATTTTCTAATAATTGCGCCAACAGTTGTTGCCTTCTCACCAAGCTGCTTGCATATTGTCCTGTAGCCCATCCCAGCCTTGTGCAGGTCTACAATTTTATCCCTACATTTTACATTTACATTTTAGTCATTTAGCAGACGCTCTTATCCAGAGCGACTTACAAATTGGTGCATTCACCCTATAGCCAGTGGGATAACCACTTTCCAAATTGTTTTTTTTTTTTTTTTGGGGGGGGGTAGAAGGATTACTTTATCCTATCCCAGGTATTCCTTAAAGAGGTGGGGTTTCAAATGTCTCCGGAAGGTGGTGAGTGACTCCGCTGTCCTGGCGTCGTGAGGGAGCTTGTTCCATCATTGGGGTGCCAGAGCAGCGAACAGTTTTGACTGGGCTGAGCGGGAACTATGCTTCCGCAGAGGAAGGGGAGCCAGCAGGCCAGAGGTGGATGAACGCAATGCCCTCGTTTGGGTGTAGGGACTGATCAGAGCCTGAAGGTACGGAGGTGCCGTTCCCCTCACTGCTCCATAGGCAAGCACCATGGTCTTGTAACGGATGCGAGCTTCAACTGGAAGCCAGTGGAGTGTGCGGAGGAGGGGGGTGACGTGAGAGAACTTGGGAAGGTTGAACACCAGACGGGCTGCGGCATTCTGGATGAGTTGTAGGGGTTTAATGGCACGGGCAGGGAGCCCAGCCAACAACGAGTTGCAGTAATCCAGACGGGAGATGACAAGTACCTGGATTAGGACCTGTGCCGCTTCCTGTGTAAGGCAGGGTCGTACTCTCCGAATGTTGTAGAGCATGAACCTGCAGGATCGGGTCACTGCCTTGATGTTAGCGGAGAACGACAGGGTGTTGTCCAGGGTCACGCCAAGGCTCTTCGCACTCTAGGAGGAGGACACAACGGAGTTGTCAACCGTGATGGCGAGATCATGGAACGGGCAGTCCTTCCCCGGGAGGAAGAGCAGCTCCGTCTTGCCAGGGTTCAGCTTGAGGTGGTGATCCGTCATCCATACTGATATGTCTGCCAGACATGCAGAGATGCGATTCGCCACCTGGTTATCAGAAGGGGGAAAGGAGAAGATTAGTTGTGTATCGTCAGCGTAGCAATGATAGGAGAGGCCATGTGAGGATATGACAGAGCCAAGTGACTTGGTGTATAGGGAGAAAAGGAGAGGGCCTAGAACTGAGCCCTGGGGGACACCAGTGGTGAGAGCACGTGGTGCGGAGACAGCTTCTCGCCACGCCACTTGGTAGGAGCGACCGGTCAGGTAGGACGCAATCCAGGAGTGAGCCGCGCCGGAGATGCCCAGCTCGGAGAGGGTGGAGAGGAGGATCTGATGGTTCACAGTATCAAAGGCAGCAGACAGGTCTAGAAGGACAAGAGCAGTGTTATGGCTATGGTTCAACCCAGCACTCAGAGAAACCAACACGACAAAGGGAGTGGAAGAAACAAAAATATTTTAATTAAAAAAAGTAAAAAAGGGCTAGAGAAAGGCCCCCCATGGCAGCCCTGGCTTAAAAAAAGAGAAGACAGCCCAAGGTCCCCTTTTTGGGGCCCACAAAATGAGGGGGAAAAACCAACTGCCTTAACCCCCAAACCTGCTAAATGAAATGGACCATATTAGAGAACATATTTCCCCCCCGATTACACAGCCCCCTAAAGAATTCCAAAAAAAAACCCAAAAATTTTGGGAAAAACCCCCCATACCCTTTTGGGGTTTAAATCCCACAGTGTTAAACCACAGCGGGCAAAAAATTTGGGGACCTTTGCCACAAAAAAGGGGAAACCCAAAGTGGGGGGGAAACAAACACCTTTTGGTAAAAAAGACCTAATTTCTGTTTTTTTTCCCCTTTTCTTTCTTCAACTATTTCCCCTTTTTTAAAAAAAATTCCCAATATATAACTTTTGGGAAATTTTTATTTCTTTAAAAAATTCAGAGTGTAAATGTTTACTGTTCATTGACTTTTTTTTAAATGAAAAATGTAAATCTTTATTTGAAATGTTGGTAACCCATTGTATAAAAGTGAAAATTGCCCGGAAGCCGGGGGTTTGGAAAAATGGCAAATAAGCCCTGGCTCAAAAAATGTTTGGGAAAACGTTTTTAAATTTGGAGAAATCTTTGGGGACTAAACTGAATAAAAAGAAGAAAAACTCCACTAAAACAAAAAAAAGACTAAAGAATGATGTAAAAAGGCAAACTCACCCCATCATCTTTTGGAATCAGATGGCTCTTTCCATCAAAAAAACTGACTGTTTGCCAACTACTTTTTAATGATTTTTTCATTGGAAAGATTAGCATTTTTACAATCCCATGCCACGGGCTTTGAAAAAGGGCCAGTGTTTTCTTGTATGGGGTTGACTAAACACTATAAAAAACGTCAGCTATACAGGGTTTGAATGCCCTGCAGCCCCTTAAAACAACGACTGCTTTAGTTTCGAGTGGGGGGCAAGGAAAAAATGATTTCCAAAATATTCTAAAAAAAAAAGCATTGTTTTGGGAAAAAACATTCATTTAAACCCAAACCTCAACAAAACCCTTTGTAATAAGTAATGGGGAAAAATTGAGCAAGTTGGGTGACAAAAAGGGGATTGAAAAAAGGTCATGGTCAAAATTTTTTTTACAACTAGCTAAAGGGGGAGAAGTTTGTCCAAAATTTTAAAGGGCGCTGTTTAAACCTTTTTAACAGAACTATAAAAGGCCCGGCCCCTACGGCCCTAGTTTGCCCAAAAGGGACTACTTTTTCAGTCGTGGGTCAGGGCCCCAAATAGGGAATAGAAAATTGGCTCAAACCAGGGCCGCACGGGGGCCCTTTGATGTAAAAGGGGGAGGTAACGTTAAAAATATGCAGGGCAACCCTTCCGGCTCAAAGGGGGGGAGAGTTTGATTTCTCATATTTGTTTTTAGGGCGGATTGAATTTAAATGCCCCGGGCTGTCGGCGCAAACTCGGAAACCCATGCATACCCCCAAAAAAAGAATGCCAAAAAGAGGTCTTTTCACAGCCCCAAAGGGCCAAAACCCGACTGGGGGCCTGGGGCACACACTGTTTTGTGAAATTTTGTGAAGTATTGTAATTTTTAAAAAAATTTGGGTATAACTCCCTTTTAAGGGGGCTGGCCCCCAGGAAATGGGGATCCAAAATTTAATACAAATAAAAAATATTGGCAGGGTTTTGCCGGCCCTCGACGAACACCTGTCCCAATTATCCAAAAAACCCCGGGGTTCTCGGGAAATTATCATTTAAGTGAAGTTTTGTGGAAAAAGTTATGACAAAAAAATTGTTGTGGCAGAAAATAAAATGGGGACCCTATTTTTGGAAAAAAAAAGTCCTTCGATTTTTTTTTAAAAGAAAAAAAAAATAAAATATGCCCTTACAATAAAAATTTTGGTTTAAATTTTCACAATTTTCATGAAACTGTAAAAAACATGTATCTATTTTATATTCAAACAAATCTCCCTGCCCCCAAAAAATTTGTATAGTTTATGTATAGTTCTTCTGACCCTTTCCCCCAAACCCTGATGTTTTCCTTCTCCTCCATTTCCTGCTGATCTTCAGGCGAGCAGCGGCAGGGGGGAGCGGGCGGAGGAGAGTGGTCTGATAGCTCTGGCCAAACTGTCTGAGATAGACGTTCCCCCCACAGAGGGAGGGGCCTGGGGGGAACGGGACTTCTTTTAGGCCCAAAGGGAGGAGTGGAATGGAGGAAGGGAGAGAGAGTGAGAGTGGTTTGGGTGTGTGGTGTTGTGTTGGGGGGTGGGTGTGTGGTGTAAAATTTTTTATATTATAAAATATATTATATAAAACGTGGGAAAAACAAAATATTGATACACTGGAAATTTTTAAGGTTTTCCTATTACCAAAAACTGTAGAGGGCTGTAATTTTTATCTGGTACACTTTAACTGTGAGGGGACGGGAAACTAAAAAAAAAAATCCAGGAAAAAACCATTTTTAGATTTTTAAAAAATTTTAAAAAGCATTTTATTTCCCTTAAATAAATATTTTATACATCAAAAAAGCAAACCTAAAATTTTGGGACGGGAAAACCCTTTTTTTGCAATCCCCGAATCATATGTTTTTTTGTGGTCTTGACCAGGGGTTTCACACACTGCAGCTGGGTTTTTGGGCCCCCTCCTCCATACAGACCTTCCCAAAATCCTTAAGGGGTTTGGGGCTGTGGGGCAATAAAGGATTTCAAAACTCCCTCCCAAGATTTTCTTGGGTTTAGGTCTGGAACTGGTAGGCCACTCCCCGGACCTTGAGATGGGTTTTTTTAAGAGCCACTCCTTAGTTTTCCCCGGCTGTTTGTTTCGGGGCGGTTTTCCCCTTTCTGGAACACCCCGCCAAGACCCACTTCAAAGCTCTTTCCGAGGGAAAAGGGGGGTTTTTTGGCCCAAAAACTCGCGATACAAGGGCCCCCCCTCCTTTCCCCCCAATCCGGGGGGTCCCTTTTCCCGTCCCCTTTTCAGAAAAACAATCCCCAAAAAATGATTTTCCACCTCCTACTTCGGGTTGGGGTGGGGTTTTTTCTTGGGGGTTTTTTACTTTATCCTTTCTTCCTTTCCCAAGGCGCGAGTGGGGTTTAGACCAAAAAAATCTATTTTTTTTTTCTCAAAAACCACAAAGACCTTCTCCCATTCCCCCCTCCCGGGTCATCCAAAATGGTCACTGGAAAAATTCCAAAGGGCCCGGAAATGCGCTGGCTTGAGCAGGGGGCCCTTTCGTGCGCTTTTAGGATTTTTAAAACCATGACGGGGGAGTGGTTAATGGTTTTTTTGAGCGTGGTCCCCCGCTCTTTTTCCCGGGGCATTTACCAGGTCCTTTCCGGGGAGTTCTGGGTGATCCCCCCCTTCCTCATGATATTGATGGCCCCCCGAGGGGGAGATCTTGCATGGAGCCCCCAGAAGAGGGTGATTTACCGTCAAACTTGAACTTCTTCCCTTTTCTAATAATTGGGGGCCAACCCTTGTTGCCTTTCACCCAAACTCTTGCTATTGTCCTGTAGCCCCTCCCGCCTTGTGCCCGGGCTACAAAGGGTTTTCCCTACAAATTTTCAAATTTTTCCTTTTAGTTTATTTTGCAGACGTCTTATCCAAGCACTTACAAAATTTGGGGCATTACCCTATAGCCCTTTGGGGTAACCCCTTTCCAAATTTTTTTTTTTTTTTTTTTGGGGGGGGTAAAGGAAATTCTTTATCCTTTTCCCCGGTTTTTCTTAAAGAGGGGGGGTTTTAAATGGGCCCCCGGAAGGGGTTTAGTGACTCCCTGTCCCGGGGGTCGTGAGGGAGCTTTTTTCCATCATTGGGGGGCCCGAGCAACGAACATTTTGGGCTGGGTGAGCGGGAACCTTTTGTTCCGCAAAAAGGGGGGCCAGCCCGGCCAGGTGGGATGAAAAGCAATGCCCTGTTTGGGTGTAGGGATGAATTTAGACCTGAAAGGGACGGAGGTGCCGTTCCCCTCATGCTCCCTAGGCCCAAACCCAAAGGGGTTTAACCCGGGGCGAGTTCAAATGGAAACCAGTGGGGGTGGCGGAGGGGGGGGGGGGTGACGTGAGAGAACTTGGGAAGGGGTTTAAAAACCAGACGGGCTTTCGGGGAAATTTTGGATGAGTTGTAGGGGTTTTAAAGGGACGGGGAGGGAGCCCCGCCAACAACGGGGTTGGCAGTAATCCAACGGGAGATGGGCAAGGGCCGGGGTTAGGACCCGTGCCCCTTCCTGTGTAAGGCAAAGGGGCGTACTCTCCAATGTTGTAGAGCATGAACCTGCAGGATCCCGGGGCCCGCCTTTAAGGTTTTGGGGGGGAAAAGGGCAGGGTTTTTTTGTCCAGGGGCCCCGCCAAGGCTCTTCGCCCCCACGGGAGGGGGCCCCAAAAGGAGGTTTTAACCGTGGGTGGGGGAGATATGGAACGGGCAAAACCTTCCCCCGGGGGGAAGAGCAGCTCCGTCTTGCCAGGGTTTACTTGAGGTGGTTTAAACCCTCATCCAACTGATATGTCTGCCAGACATGCCCAAAATGGGGGATTTGCCCCTGGTTATCAGAAGGGGGAAAGAAAAAGATTAGTTTTTGTATCGTTTCCAAGGCCCCCTTTGCAATGTAGGAGAGGGAATTTTTTGAGGGTATGAAGACCAAATGGGCTTGGTTTTATAGGGGGGAAAAGGGGAAAGGGGCCAAAAACTGACCCTGGGGGGAAACCCGTTGGGGAGAGACGTGGTGGGGGAACAGCTTCTTTGCCCAAACCCCCCTTTGGGAGGAGCGACCGGTCAGGGAGGAAAGCAAATCCAGGGGTGAGCCCGCCGGGGAAAACCCGTCGGGGAGGGGGGAGAGGAGGGGGGGTTTACAAGGGTGGGAGGGGGATGGTTCACATATCAAAGGCAGCAGGGACAGGTCTAGAAGGACAAGAGCAAGGGGGGGAGAGTTTGCTTTAGCCCGTGGGGAGGCCTCCGGGACACAGAGAAGAGCGTTCATTTTTAATGACCGTCCTGAAAAATGATGGGTTTGGGGTCAAAAAGGTATTTTTGAGAGAGATAGCAAAGAGTTGGGTAAAGACGGCACGCTCAAAATTTTTTTAAAGGAAAAAAAAGAAGGGAATGGTCTGTAGGGTTGGGTTAAATCAGGGGGATGAGTGTTGGTTTTTTTAGAAGGGGTTCACCCTCCTCTCTTTAAAAAAGGGAAAAAGGGAAAAGCCCGGTTTAAGGATGAGGGGATTCCCGCGAGGTGAGGTAGGGGAGAGGTCAACCCGGGGAGGGGCTGGAGAAAAAGAGGAGGGGATGGGGTCAAGCGGGAGGTTTTTTGGGGCGGGGCCGGCCCTTTATATGCAACATTTATCCGGGGGGAAGGGGAAAAAGGGAAAAAAGAAGTAAAAGCCAAAAGGGTTTGGGCGTGGAGCAGGGCCAGCAGTGTCATTAGACTTAACAAAAAAGGGTCGGGGGTGTCTCAAACCCTTTTTTTCAAAGTGGGGGGGGAATGGGCAAAGAGCTTCCTAAAGGGGTTTAAAGGGAGATTTCTTTGGGGGTTTTGAGTGGGGAGAAATTGGCCCTTTGCAGCAAAACATAAGAAAATGTAAAAGGGAGGGAGGAAAAAAATTTCCCCAGGGGCGGGAGGGAGTTTAGTTTTTTTTTCCATTTCCCTCACTGCCCCGGACTCGGGTTTTGTGAGCTCGCAATGACGTCAAGCCACGGAGTTGGGGGGAGGAACCGAGCGGGGGGAAAGGGGGCCCGGGGAAAAGGGGGGGGTGTTGGGGGGGTTTGGAGGAGGGGAAACAAAAAGGGGGAAGGATTGGGAAGGGGAAAGGGAGGAAAAGAGGAGGGTTGGGGGAGGAGGGGCGGAAAATTGGGGGGAAATTGGAGGGGAAAAAGTGATAAGGGGTGGAAGGAAAAGAGCAAAATTAAAATTGGGGAGAAGAGGGAGTTTGGAGCGAAGGTTGGGGCGGGGCCCCCCCTTTGGTAGGGGGGGAGGTGGAAAAGTGGGTGGAAAGGGGGGAAAGAAAAGGATAAAAATGGTCAAATGGAGGGGAGGGTTTTCCCAAAATTTAAGGGGTATTAGAGGAAAAGGAAAAATTATAAGGGTTTAAGCCATTGGCTTCCCCCTTTTTGGGGAAGGGGGGGGAAAAAGGGGGAATTAAATTAAAAGGGGGTAGGGGGGGAGGGGGAAAAATGAGGGAATAGACGGGGGGTTGGGGGCCCCCAAAAAGGGGGAAAAGGGGGCCACTTGGGAAAAGGAAATTATTTTGGCCAACCCCTTGAAGAACTCTCCAGGGAACCTGGAGGGGCAGTGGATACAGGTTTTTTTAACCTTTTTGGGGGAGGGGAAGTGATGACGGGGGGAATTCGGGAGAAGGCAGGGGTTTGGGGGAAAAATTAAAGGCCAACTTGGGAAGCGGAATGGGGTTTTGGGGCAACCCCTATTGGGGCCCGAGCCCCGGGGTATGCGGAAAAATTTGGGAGGGAGAAAACAGGGGTAGGCGTGCCCTGTTTTCAGTGGGAAACCCTGGTTTCCTAAGGCCAAAGGGAAAAAAGGGGGGGGAAAGGGGGCTAAACTTGGGGGGAGAAGCAAGGGGCCTTTTCACCCAAAAAAATTTTCCCCAACTTCCAAACCCCGGGAAAATTAAATTGTTTCCCCCCAACCACCCGGAAAAAAACCCCCAACCCCTTTGGTTAGGGTTTGGTTTTAAAAAACCGGGGGAGAGGAAGCAAGGGGTAACCAATTTTTGTTAACAGGGTTTAACAGAGGCCCAAAAATGCAAGGAGATCCAATAAAAATTGAAATACTTTTAAACCAAAACCAAAAGGTTTCACCAAAAAAAATTCTTTCCTTCCACCTTTTAAAGAAATATTTAAAGTTTCCTAACCCCAAAAAAATTTTTAAAAAACCCCCAACCCAATTTAGAAATTTGAATTTTTTGGTAAAAAAACGCGTTTCCTTTTTTTCAAAATGCTTTAAATGGGCCAAAGGAGCGGGTAAAATATTTTTTACCCTTTTTTAAAACTACTGAGCCCGCCAATCCCAAGGGGGTTTTGCACCCTACTTGGTACCCCCCCCAAAAAAAAATAAACCAAATTTTAAAACATAACCCCAAAAAATTTTTCCCCAAACCCAATCCCGCAAATTTTAAAATTGGGACACCCAAAAGTGGCCCACCCGTACGATTTTCCCCAACCTTTTTTAAAAAAAATCAAATTTTCCCCGGTTTTAAGGCCCTTACTCGCCCAAAGCCAAATTGCTATTTCTTTAAACCCCAAAAACCCTTTCCCCCAAAAACCCCACAAACTGGGTTCCCCAATTTTAAATGAACTTTGATTAAATAACAATATTTTATTGAATAATGAAAGAGATTGATATTAAGGTTATCGTTATGACTATTATGATTGATTGTTGTTATTATTGTTCTAATTCATATGATTGTATTAGCTATTATACAGAATATCCTCACTTATTTTAAAACAGTGAGGTCATACCTATTTTAAGAAAATAGATTTTTCTATTTGCCATCAATAATTTAATTGTTTAATGTTTGATGTACATCACAGAAAAGGTTTTGTGGAGCAATGTATTGACCAATTTATGTGTAGAATGCAAAGGCATGTTACAATACCTGTGTCAAAAACAGTTTCTCGCTAACTTTTCTGTTGAAACCTTTAAAAATCACTCTGTGAATCTAAGTTTTTACTATTGGCAGATTGTAGTGTTACTATTATATTGAATATTGACCTGTAATCCATGTTTGTTTAATTTGTAGAAACATACCATCATGTAACAATGTAGCAATATGTTTTCTTATGTGTTCTGAAATTAAAAGGAAATGGATGTATTGTTTTTTTCTCCATAAATAAAACAATGGTAATCACATTCTGTGTGCTTTCTCAATAATTGGTGTATTCTATTGATGTCATATAATTTGCTGCTCTGATAAGTTTCAAACAGCTGTCATACAGTACAGGTGAGGAAAGACAGGAGGCAACTTGGTGGCGAGGCTGACTTGATATAGTAACAGGAGGCAGCATGGTAGCGAGGCTGACTTGATATAGTAACAGGAGGCAGCATGGTAGCGAGGCTGACTTGATATAGTAACAGGAGGCAGCATGGTGGCGAGGCTGACTTGATATAGTAACAGGAGGCAGCATGGTGGCGAGGCTGACTTGATATAGTAACAGGAGGCAGCATGGTAGCGAGGCTGACTTGATATAGTAACAGGAGGCAGCATGGTAGCGAGGCTGACTTGATATAGTAACAGGAGGCAGCATGGTAGCGAGGCTGACTTGATATAGTAACAGAAGGCAGCATGGTAGCGAGGCTGACTTGATATAGTAACAGGAGGCAGCATGGTAGCGAGGCTGACTTGATATAGTAACAGGAGGCAGCATGGTAGCGAGGCTGACTTGATATAGTAACAGGAGGCAGCATGGTAGCGAGGCTGACTTGATATAGTAACAGGAGGCAGCATGGTAGCGAGGCTGACTTGATATAGTAACAGGAGGCAGCATGGTAGCGAGGCTGACTTGATATAGTAACAGGAGGCAGCATGGTAGCGAGGCTGACTTGATATAGTAACAGGAGGCAGCATGGTAGCGAGGCTGACTTGATATAGTAACAGGAGGCAGCATGGTAGCGAGGCTGACTTGATATAGTAACAGGAGGCAGCATGGTAGCGAGGCTGACTTGATAAAGTAACGTACACACCCAGCTGTAATACCATCATCGCCATACAGGATTACATTTTGTAGCTAATTGCCATCCACATTCAACATGTATAGAATAGTATGTTATTTAGTAAAACATTGGGTATTGTGAGAGATTCTGTGAAATGAAGTATGAGAAAGTATGAACAAGTATTGTTTCTCCATTTGAATTGTTCAGAAAATATTATTTTATTTCATGTAATGTACACTGTACAAGCCATTGGAACATGTATTATGATACAATAAGATTTAATCTCTGAAAATCAGGGCTTTCTTTCCATAACATTATTTCCATTTACTCTTTAATCTTTGTGCATTGCTGTTGACTCAAATGCATACATGCATGATGTAATAGTGATTTTTGTCTTTACATAAATTCAAAGGGAAAATATAAAGATGATCTACTTACATCTTTCTCCAAACGTTTAACCTATCACTAAAGTGCTTAATCTAAAGCCATAGCATTTTACATATTGAACATGTGAAATCAATGTATAACATAGTATTACATTTCATCTTTGGCTAATATTTGGTGTAAATAGACACACACTGATTTCAGTGAAGATTTCTCATAAACATTTAAGGCAGTAATCTAATCAATTTGCAGTTAAATCAACTGATATTTTCTAAGGCATAACTGATATTTCTGACAGTTCAATATTAGATACCTCAGCTTAAAATGATTGAAGACATTGAGTTGTCATCTTCCAAAGTATGATCCTCTACGTTACAGAAGCTGCGTTTACACAGACAGCCCAATTCTGATCTTATATATTATTATTTTTACCACAAATTGTTTTTTTCAGTAATCAGATAAGCTCTTTTGCCAATAATTGGACAAAAGATCAGATTTTTATTGGACAAAAGATCAGATTTGGGCTGCCTGTGTAAACGCAGCCAGAGTGTATTCCATAGCAGCGTAGTGTTATTGATTGTGGAATATCATCCTTCATGGCAGTGAATGTGCCTGTTGGTTCTAGAGCTCTCAGGTAGCTAGAACATGTTCTACAATCTAGTGGTCTTCAATCCACTGGATGAATACCCTTTGGTATGGACGGTTGCTTAACCAGGTAGCAGAGCCATAGAAACATGTCCCCCCCATATTGCCCCTAACGCTCCCTTTCTGCCCCTATCTCTATCCCTGTGTTGCTACCCTCCCCCTCCCTCACGCACGCACGCACGCGAGCACAACTGCACACACACACACACACACACACACACACACACACACATATATAGTAAACCCCGGAACCCACCCATCCCACGTTGCTCTCTGTCCCTTACTCCTTTCCCTTCCACCATCCTCCTTCCCCTCCCTTACTCCATCCTGTCACTCCCGTCCCCGTTGATCTGCACCACACACTCCTTGTCCAGCGGCTCCTTGCAGTGGGCCATGCCAAAGTGCTGACTGCTCACCTGGTACCTGCCATGCTTGTCCAGCCCCATGGCGGGCACGAAGCGCCGCTCAAACTGGATCTCCTGGCGCAGGTAGGACGTCCTCTTCTGGCAGGCGTCGCCCGTGCCCTCCTGGGAGGCGGAGAGAAACACCACTAGCTCAAAGTGGCTGGCGCTGCCCTCACGCAGGGCCGGGTAAAGGGGGCTGTGGCGGTCCAGGACGTGGTAGAAGGTGAGGGGGAAGATGAAGAAGGGGCAGGGGCGCGGGCCCAGCTGGTCCAGTTGGAAGTCCAGGTTGGTCTGGTGCAGGACCTGGTCATCTTTCTCTTCGTACAGCACGGCACTGACCTCCACGTCCACCAGGGGGCGGCGCAGAAGGTTGGTGGCCCGGAAACACGAGGCAGGGCTGGCCTTGGTGCTGACCCACCACCGCCTGGGGGCTGAACTGGATGGCCCCCGCACGCTTCTGGGGACGGGCGATCTTTGCCACAAACGCACCTGAAGAGCGGGGATGGGAGAGAGAGAGAGTGAAGATGTACATATCAGTAGTTTTCCTTAGAAATATGTATGTGTTATTTTTTTTAATCTCAAGAGACCCAGATGAAACAAAGATCGAATTTAAACAAGAAAGTTAAATAATTAAATATAAAAGTTTATAAAAATTCAAGATGAAGAAGACCAAACAGCTGTGCCCTCAGCATTGAAAGGTACAACAACAAACTGAGAAAGAGAGAAAGAGAAGTGCTCCTCTCCATTATAAAGTACCTGTGATGAAGGCTTCCAGCATGAGGCCCAGCAGCATCTGAACTGCCAGCAGGGCTATAGCGCTGGGACAGTCCCCACTGGGGAACATGGTGCCGTACCCAATGGTCAGCTGGGTCTCCAAGGAGAAGGAGAAGGCTGCGGTGAAGCTGGTGATGTGTTTGACACACACCACGTGTCCCTCTGGAGGAGCGTCGTGGTCCTCCACCGCCAGGTCTCCATTGAGGTGGGCCAGTAGGTACCACAGGCAGGCGAACAGCAGCCAGTGGGCCACGAAGGAGGTGCAGAAGGCCAAGAGAACCCAGCGCCAGCGCAGGCACACCACTGCCCCCCACAGGTCCTGCAGGGGAGAGCCAGGGTGTATATACCCATTCAATTATTGCTGGTTACCCAGACACAGATAAAGCCTGACACTGGTCAAATAATCAAGTTCAATGGATATTCTCAATTGAGAGTTTAAATCCAGGACTAGTCTTAATCTATGTCTGCGAATCCGGCCCATAGAGTGTCTGTGTATAACTTTTTATTTTAAGTTTACTTTTCCATTTAGCCAGCAGCACCTCTTCAACTATTTAGGGTGTGTGTCAACTTCTTTATTTTACCTGTAGGGCTAGCAGCCAGGCAGAGGCAGAGGCCCAGGACGGCCACAGGCCAGGAGAGGGAGGGGAGGAGCGCAGGGCGCAGTGACCGTCCTTGGTCACCAGGCGCTGGCAAGACAGGTAGGGTGGGGATGATGTGGCCAACAGGAGAGGGGAGGAGGAAACCTTGTTCCCGTCCAGGTCGTTGGTCGTTTTGGTCGTCATGGTTACAGGGAGGTGAGGGGTCGAGGGCAGGCGAGTGGGCAGGTCAGGATGAAGGTATCTGGAAACAAGCACAATCATGCCAAGAATCATAGAGGACCGTTTATAACAACTTTATAAACATGGACAACTTTGACTTTATAAATCCACTTTGACATTGTTATGTAGTTAGTTATGTACATAGGGGGACAGACAGAGAGAGACAGAAACTTCCAGAAACGTCTAGAATGTTGTTGCAGGTGATTAGAGAAGTGCTCAGTGGGGTATCTGTCAGTGGAACACAGCGACATGCAGAGCAGGAATGTGGTGAGTTTAATCTGGGAGGAACACTCAGTAACAATCACTACAGTACCAGACGGACTTCTCTCTCCCATCTGTTCTCTAGCCTTGTTCAGCAACATGTTAGTATGCTTTATGGATGATCACTTGGACAAAAAATTCACACCCTCCTCATGTACTGACTGTAGACTATATGATGGGATGTTTTTAGAATTTTTCCGTCAGAACTCGGACATGAATGAAGGTTCACCAAGAATAGAGTGTGATGATGTTTGAGGTTTATATGAGATTAAATATGCTTTTTATGAAGTCTCTTGTTTGCATTGTGTATGTACAGTATTTGCTAGCTGTAAGAGATGAGCTGAGAAAACATTGCACATACATTTTACAAAGTGCTGTATCTAACTCACATCATGGACCAGAGGGACTTAAAGGGATGCTTGGTGAAGAAACTGTCCTGTTTATAACTTTAGCTTGTAAATTGTGCACCCTGTACTGTCTGTAAGTATAGATGGAATATACAGCTAACAAAGCTGTTCCTTTGATATAAAAACACTTAAATACATGTAAATGTCAAAAGCTGTGCAATGTTTGTACAGTTAACAAAGTACAAAATCAGCTGGGAAATCATGTTATCGTTTTTCTGTGTATCAAAGGGATAAAATTACACTTGGTAGTAAAAACTAGCCCTGAGCCTTGACTACACACCAGGACAGTCACAAAAGACGAAATCGTTGCTAAATGTCGTGGGAACCTCACTGGAGTAACTCTATGTTTCTAAGGGGTTTTATTCATCAATATTGTTGGCTAATTCAATGACAGATTCGTTACAGTCAGAATTAGTCACTGGCACGGGCTAATAAGTCAGGCTGTGGCGGCAAGCTGCTAGCTACTGCTTCTGCTCTCTAGGCCAAGCATGGGACTGTTATTACAGAAATGATATAGGGTAATAGTAAGCGTGGCTATGTGTTAGCGCAGTAAGAAGCGCTTCATTTTCCTGAAGTGGCGGGATGCCAGCTTGAGAGAGGCCATCAGAGAGGCCATCACATGAGGGGCATACGGCGTGCAGGGGAGGAAAACACACACACACACACACAATGGTTACGAATCTCCCATATCCCCCCATGTCTGTTGGGCCTGTATTCTCCTTAGTGTGTGTGTGAGATAGTGGCAGCTATTAGATGATGCTTTCAAACAGCACTCTGTCTGTGTGCTCGCTCTGTGGATGGATGAGGGGCCTCAGTGGCTTCTGGGATAGTTTGGGGTTGTTGGTTGGAGATACTGTAGCTAGGCTACATAGCTCCCTAGGCTATAGCTTAGTTTAGCCAACGATGATACAATCATCAAAGGGCCCTCTATCGCTGCAAAGTGGGGTGCAGGAGAGTTTATTCAGGTATAGGTATATGTAGGAAGAGGCTGTTTTACTTGTTCTCCGATTTCTCCCTTCAAAAGCCTCCACTGGTATTGATTACCGCACCTGACGAGTGTTGAAGTTTAATAGCATATGGATGGAAACTACACTCCCCACTCTATTGTCCAGCTTTACCCCCATCCCCATAGAGATCCAATGAGGACAAGAGGGCAGAACCTGTTAACCACCCAGGGCTAAACAGTTATAGACGCTCAGTTATCTTATAGATACATCCTGTAAATGCTTTCTCTGTGGTTATAAAACAGAGTTGGACAGGTTGTGCAAGTTGACCTCCCTTTGTCCTACTTAGGCTTATATCTAACATGTGTTAAAAATTAAAAGAAACACCCATTTTGTTACTTCAAGCTGGAAAAAGTTGACCTGTTATTTGACTTCTTCAGTCTAGGGTCTCTGAGGGTACAAGCTGTGTTTATGTATTCATTTACATGTACATTATTGCCAGTAGATACAGTCTTGGTTAAGTTTTGTTCAAATCGGTGATTCCGCTGGTCAATTTCTTGCACAATGTTCAAGAACATTGCACAAAATCAATCTTGCAATTTAAAGTTGAAAGTCTAACTTTTCTGGGAAGGATTTTACAGTTTTTTCTGTAGTAATGCTCCATAGTCTCACCCCCCTCTCTCTCTCTCTCTCTCTCTCTCTCTCTCTCTCTGTCTCCCTCTCTAACTCTCAATCTCTCTCTCTTTGTCTCTCCCCGTCGCTCTCTCTCTCTGTCTCTCTCTCTCTATCTTTGTCTCTCTATCTCTGTCTCTCTGTCTTTCGCTCTGTCTCTCTGTCTCTCTCACACACAGTCTCGTATCATCCTCTCTCTCCCTCTCTCCCTGTCCATCCGTAAGGTTACTCACTGTAGTGTAGCACAAGGGCCAGCGATCACCCCTCTGATGGTGCCCTTTTCACCCGAGCGCTGATCCGAGGGCGGGCAGGAGGCGAGGCCAGGGGCGGGAGAACCACCAAATCCGTGGGATGAGAAGATGGGGGGTAAATCCCAAGGTATTCCCTAGGTAAAGGAAGGAAAAAGAAAGTGTCACCCCAGGAACTCTTCGGCGTGGGAGCCGGACTGAGCCCAACGCTCTGCTCTTCCGATCTGCAGCTCCGGCTCTTTGCCGAGGATGATTCGATTGGTCACATTACTCTGCATGTGGCCAATTAGTGTTCCCGGAAGGCGAGAGAGGGAGGAGAAAAACCCAAAGAACAACACCTTGTCACAGTTCATTGACAGAGCCAGTTGTAGCTCCTCGGAGTCCTGTGGTTGGTAGGAGTAAATGAGTATAGGAATGATGATGAGAGAGAGGTTCTGGAGAGGGAGTGTGACAACAGGGTGTCTTTGTGTGTGTGTGTGTGTGTGTGAGAGAGAGAGAGCGAGAGAGAGCGAGAGAGAAGGGGGGGGGGGGGGGGGGGGGGGGAGTCTGTTGTTACTGTCCATCTATCTGCCTACCCAGACATAAGGGTTCTGTGTTTAGCAGTCCTTTTGCACTTACACAGGTGAATAGCATTCGCTTGTGCAGTCATGTCTAATTGGTGATTACTTAATGATGCATTATGAAAGTACTTGAACAGGGACATGGAAGACATGCCATGTTGCAAGTGTTGACTAATAAGACATCCAACTTATCCAACCATAATGTAACCTTTAACCTTAACCTAACCCCTAACCTTACCTCAGACAGTAAGGGATTTGTTTAATCACCACATTACCCTTTCCTTGAGAGTCATCATGGTATAGTGTTGCTTTAGCATGTGATTTCAAATCTGGCAGCCCATTTTTAACCCCTACTTCACAGTGCTTCTTTGTTACTGGTTGGGCTGTAGTAAGCCATATTACAGGAGTTCAAAGGTCACAGCAGGCCGGGTCTATGAGTGTGGTGCTCCCTAACTTCTTTGCATGCACACTATCAACTGTGCCCAGGCGAGCTCTGAAATGTTGCAAAAGTTCAAAGTTCGAAGAAAGATGCCTAGGTAAGAGGAGTTGGAAGAGAGAGGGAGGAGAAGAGGGAGAGAGGGAGGAAAAGGGGGAGAGAGGGATTGATTGTTCCATTGCAAAATATACCTTCACATTACTATCTACAGCACTCACTCTTTCATTAAGTCTTTCTGTTGCTAAAGTTTGAAATGTTGCAAAAGTTTGAAGTTCAAATAGGAGTTGGAAGAGAGAGGGAGGAGAAGGGGAAGAGAGGGAGGAAAAGGAGGAAAGAGGGATTCATTCCCAGCTAACAATTCTATTGAGAGATAACGTTTTTGTCATTTTACCCGTAATGTTCCACTAATGTTAGGGGAACATTCGATCTCAATCTGGTCTCAGAGCATTTTGTATTATTCTGTACTTAAATCCGAGACACTCCATTTAGTATGATATGTTACGTTTCGTATGGTATGTATTAATTTGTGGATGTCCATCATCCATTTCGTTTGATATGTTACAAATTACAGTTTGTATGATATTGTACGAATTGAAATTCGTACAATATGTTATGAATTAGCAAAACGTATAATATTTTACAAATTTGCTAAGCGTATGCTATGCTACAAATTCCAATTTGTTGTTGCTAATGTTAGCTAGGTTGCTAGGTGGCTAACACTAATGTTAGCTGGCCTGGCTAACGTTAGCTAGGCTAGGGGATAGGGTTAGGGATAAGGTTAGGAGTTTGGTTAAAAGGTTAACGGTAGGGGAAGGGTTAGCTAAAACTCAACCTCTTGTTTCACAGTATGCCGATCTTCCTGCTAAGCCACCATATCTGTGTCATGTATTGGTTAGTCTGAGTATTCTCATCATTGATTTGATTTACTCATTTTCAGTATAGTTGTCTAATGTTGGTGGGGCATGTTAACCTGTTTTAATGATACTCCTGAATCACTATGATCTGAGCTGAGATTTACTATTACAGAGGCTGAGTCACTGGCTTACTAGTGCTCTTCCATGCCGTCTCTAGAAGGGGTGCGTCATGTCGTGCCAGGCTTTTTTTGCAATACTCGGTTTGAGTGGGTTGAGTCACTGACGTTATCTTCCTGTCCGGTTTTGCATCCCCTCGGGCTTGTGCGGTGGAGGAGATCTTTGTGGGCTATACTCAGCCTTGTCTCAGGATAGTGAGTTGGTGGTCTGTTGATATCTCTCTAGTGGTGCTTTGGCAAAGTGGGTGGGGTTATATCCTGCCTGGTTGGCCCTGTCCTGGGGTATCGTCGGACGGGGCCATAGTGTCCCCCGACCCCCATTGTCTCAGCCTCCAGTATCTATGCTGCAATAGTCTATGTGCCAGGAGGCTAGGGTCAGTCTGTCCTATCTGGTGTAATTCTCCTGTCTTATCTGGTGCCCTGTGTGAACTTACAGTTTTTTCCGACTGCTTACACACAAAATCTTTTCATGTCACACGATTTTTGAAACCTCTCACTCAAAGTGCAAAACTACACACCAAATCTCCAAAACCATAAGCTATTTCTCAGCCTTTGACTCAGTTGTCAATTGCATAAAACACTTTTTTCAAAACACTACACACAATTCTCTACCTAAAACACAAAAATCTAACAGGAAGTGACTTGCTTTCCTTTTCCAAACACAACCATTCAAAATGCTACACTTATTCACCAGGTCACACACACACTCTTCACATCTGCAAACACTAATTGCTTAACTGATCACTAACCAATCACTGCTTTACTGTAGTATAGGCCTATAAATAGGTCAAAGGTCAGATTACCTGTTTTGAACAATGGATGCCAACAATGGACAGAGAGCAAGAGGAGTAGGAGGGAGAGGCAGGGGACAACAACGAGGACAAATTCAAAGACGAAGTGTTGGAAGAGGAGGAGAAGGAGGAAGAGGAAAATGAAGAGGAAGAGGAAGAAGAGGACGAGGGCAAAGAAGAGAAGGAAGGAGATTTATTTATGTGGATGAGGTTGGCTTCAACCTCACCAAAACCAGGCGCCGCGGAAGAAATGTAAAAGGACAGAGGGCAATTACCAATGTCCCTGGACAGCGTGGGGGGTAATATAACTATGTGTGCTGCCATCACTCAAAACGGGGTCCTCCATCACAATGCCACACTGGGTCCGTACAAGACCGGCCATAGGCTCACTTTTCTGGATGCAATTTACACAATGCTTGTCCCTGATCCAGATCAGGAGCCTGCTAGATTTGTGGTTATATGGGACAATGTTAGTTTTCACCGGGCTGTTTTGGTCCAAAACTGGTTTGCCACCCATCCACAATTTGTAGTTTTGTACCTACCCTCATATTCACCTTTTCTAAATCCCATAGAGGAATTCTTCTCAGCCTGGCGCTGGAAAGTGTATGATTGCCAACCCTATGCCCGCATGCCGCTTCTCCAGGCAATGGAGGACGCATGTGGGGACATAGAGGTTGCCTCTGTCCAAGGTTGGATACGCCATGCTAGGAGATACTTCCCTCGATGTTTGGCAAGAGAAAACGTATCTTGTGATGTGGACAAAGTATTGTGGCCAGACCCAGCCCGGAGAAGAGATGAAGCGTAGCTTAGCACTGGTGACTGCCCACCCCCCTACCAATTCCTGGACTGCCCCCCGGGACCCCACACACACAATTGTGTTCTTTACTGTATTCTAAAGAATATACTTTTGGTTTACATATGTTTATGGTTTTGTTGTGTGCTACTGTATACAACAGTAATGTTTGGCCTAATAAATATTTTCTGTTTATACATTGCATTGGTGTTTACAGTGTACTTGTTACCCCTCTCAGCAGATTACTTTCACTGTAGAACATTGTATTGAAATGTAGATATAAGCCTATGAAAGACCAAAGAGCTTTAGATTTAGAACAACAGTGTTTACATGGTATATCCAAAAATGTACTATTATGAAAGATGTGTTTGCCATTTGATGCAAATGCTTCATTCTGACATGTGTTTATGGCATTTTGAACGCAGTGTTACATTTTGAAGGAGATGTGAGGCATTTTGCATTTTGTGTGTGCAGTTTTGGGAATTGTGTGTAGAGTTTTGAAAAAAGGAGACATAGTTTTGAAAACGTGTGTAAGCAGTTGGAAAAAACTGTAAGTATGCTCCCTCTAATTCTCACCTCTCTTTCTCTCTCTCTCTCCCTCTCTCTCTCTTTCTTTCTCTCTCTCTTTCTCTGTTTCTCTCTCTCTCTCAACCTCTGAAACCTGGGCAGTGAAAAGCCAACTGACATTTACTCCTGAGGTGCTGACCTGTTGCACCTTCTACAACCACTGTGATTATTATTTGACCCTGCCGGTCATCTATGAACATTTTAACATCTTGAAGAACGATCTGGCTTTACAGTTTTTGCCTATTGCTTACACACTTTTTGCAGAATTTGGCTCATTATGTCAAAACTCAACACACAAGCCAATCAGACATAGCACTTGGAGATTAACAACTCACATATATGCCAAAATGAAACACTGCAATCAAAACTTAACACTCCTTTCTAAAAATGAAATTCTTGCAACAAAACCACCACATTTGAATTACTCTTTCATATCACCAGCAACACACTGATGGGCTTTATATAAAACACTGCAGTCTTTGTGTTTCTATTTTCATTGTCATTTTATTGTCATTGTCTTCTGTAAAACTCAAAAGTAGAATTTCTGCAGTAATCAAACAGTATTTACAAAAAAAGTATTTACAAAAAAACTAACATTCTTACAGAAATTCTTAACATCAAATTTAGCAACAAAACAAAAGTAAAAAAACTAAACAATTACTGGATAAATTGCTATTGGGGGAAAAAACATATACTTGTTTTGTGTGTGTGTGCGTGTGTGTGTGCGTGTGCGTGTGTGTGGTGGGGGGCGGGGGGGCTTATGGATCACGCCTTCTGTTCGGATCTGGCCACAAGACCTCGTCAACATCACAGGTGATGTCCTTGTGTGCCGAATCCACCCTTGGATTGATCCCACCTCAATGTCTCCACATGCCTCTTCCATTGCTTGCAGAAGAGTCATGCGGGCATGTGGTTGCCGATCATATACTTTCCACCGCCACGCTGAAAATAATTCCTCAATTGCATTTAGAAAGGGGCTGTAAGGGGGCAGGTATAAAACTGTGAAATGATTATGGTTGTTGAACCAATCTCGGACCAGAGCAGCCCGGTGGAAACTAACATTATCCCA